GTAGTCTGAAAATATTCTAAACTGTCTAAAATTGACATTTTCTTATGTTATACCTTGCACAAAAATTTTAATTTAAATAACAAATGGCAATTACTTTTCTCGAATGACAGGTATACCTACTAGTCATTACATAAAAAATTGCCATTTCTTCGTGACAATTATACTAGTCATTCATACCCAAGAGGTTAAGAGCAGAAATGTGTATTTACAATGCATCTTTAAACGTAAACTTCCGTTCACAAGAATTAAATGCCCCGGCTAATGTATTCCGAAGACGGTTCGCAACATCTGCCGCAGCCTAATAATGACGTAACGATATTACCTACTCTATAATTAAGGCGAGCATTTCGGTCGAGAGTCTTTTCACCGAAAATGATCGTCTATTAATCCCAGAGACACACGTTACACGCCGTAGAAGGTGTTCTTAGCCTGACGCACCAAGAAGTAGGACCAATGGAGAGGCTACCTTGAGATCCGCTAGGTTCCTCTGTCTGCGCCGTTCTTTTTCTCCGCGACTGTTCCACATCCACCCTCTCTTTCTCCTCTGTCTATGCAACCACGAGCGATTACGCCACTGCTTCTCTCACCTCCGTCTAATCCCATTACCAGCCCAGGTAGCTCACGGATGCACGGCAACTGCAAAAGTCCTGGAAACGGATGAAAAACTTTGCAGCGCCGAGGAGTAAAAGATATATCGGGCGAAATAAAACACGATAATATGTACATACACCGGCTCAGCAAACTCGGTTTCCGCTAGGGGAAAAAGTGAAATTAACGAAGGGCCTGCTACCATTTAGTTTTGGGAGTTACTGAAATTTATACAAAATTAACATTCGATTTAACATTTGTTTCAGTACCTGAAATAAATTTAAAAAATGGTACGACGCCGTTTCCCTATGTTATTTTTTCCCCTAGTTGCAGCCGGGTTTGCTCGTGAGTGTACATACATACACTCAGTCAGGTAAATAGGGGGTGGGGGAGATGGACGAAGGAAGGAAGAAGAAACGAAGAAAAGATCCGAGAAACGGTTAACTCGATTTGAAGGAAAGGAGGAGGAGCAACCGGCGCGGAAACAAAACTGAAAAGAAACAGGCGGATAAAAGGTTCAGAATCAAAACAAGTGGCGTAAACGAGACACACGAGGCGAAGAAAGGAGACGGAGAATCGGAGGTGGGGAGAGGTGGAAAAAGAAGGGACCAGCCGTGAGGGCGAAAGAGAGAGAGGAGGGGATCGAAGTCATTTCAGCCGTCCTCCCGGATGTGCAGCATCATTACACGGCATTCTTCGAGGCTGCAGGATCTCCCTTTCTTTCTTCCTCCGGTCGACGCGTTGACGTAACCGCGACAAAACGGATTCTTCTTCTTCTTCTCGATATACGAAATTCTGGTTTTTATCAAAATCGTTCGTCTTTTCAGGAGCTCATCCTATGCACCTGTGACCGTATTTATCATCGTTCAATTAATTGGCAGTGTCCAACGGGGGAACAGAAGAAAAGTCCCAATAATGGGACTGTTTGAGATCTTACGTTATTGTATGAAAGTATTTGAAATATCTATTTCATTGTGATCGTAAATCCTTCTTGGAATTCTTGAGACAGCAATGTACTGCTGTTGATGCAATGGATAATATTAGGTGTTGACGTGACGGACCGATGAGACTTCTTGTTACAGGCAAGGGAAAGGCTTGTGGATGTGTACTATTATCGTCGTGTGACCATATTGGTACGGGGAATGCAATATTAAGTTTTAACAATTCGAGTGCATACATCCTAAAATTTCTTGACAGAATAACGTCATTCCTTGAGAGTAAAATGTGCCAGATAACACAAGGGACGGATGAGGGTTAAAGAAACATACTTACACATCGCGGGATCGTTAATTATGCACACTACTGGTGTCAAATTAATTTACAAGTTTCTGTAATAAAAAGTATTACTAAAGATTAATGTCTGACTTGAGTCAAATTGTCCAGTGCACGAGGATTGAAGAGGTAGAATTCAATTGTTATAAATAACAGCGATAGTGAACGTCTCGAGGAATTCGCTGCCGTTTCTGTGTGTGTTAATGTGATGCAGAGTTAAAGCCAATGTTATTGGTCTACCCGGATTTTCCGGCGGTTGTCAAGCACCAAAAAAGGTTTCCGAGGAGGCGTAACATTAATCACGGGACAGGTATGTGGCCAGAACTCCCGAGGTCGAAATCTTTCTTTTTTTTTTCTCCCCCCTCAAAGAGAACGATGATCCACAATGGACTGTCCGGGATCCTCCCTGCTCACGTTTACGTGTCTGATCGATCGAAGAAAGGATCCTTCTGAAAAGTTACCGGCTCCTTTCTACCCTCTTCGGGGACCTATTAAATCTTGGATTCGAATTCCAAAAGGATCTTGTCCTAAAAGAGAAACCACCGACACAATATTTTTCGAGAGAAAAGTTTCAATACCATGACACCAACGGATCCACCGTTGAAACTTGCAAGTTGTATTCCTTTTTAATTATTTATTTATAAAGAAGTTGTATTTCTTGTACGACTAATAAATCATTTTCTAGCGTCGAGTCTTACATATTTGTCTTGTGAAATTTTCAAATGTTATCACTCGAATAATAACATTTCTTAGAATTTAATTTATTTCATGAATAGCAGAAAAGAAATAGTGACCATGGTACTAGCTTCTATAACGAGTAATAGACTATATTATTGTGAGTTTATCGTTTAAACAATATCAACGGTTCACAGTGATTTAACCGATTTGATTGACGAGTCGTACGATGCTTCCCCTTTTTCGATTCGTTCGTTTCTTTCTTTTTGCTTTTCTGTAGGAAGAATTCTTCGGTAAGGAAAGGAAGGCAGGGGGAAAAGATCAGGCATAAGAATCGGTGGTACTCATAAGCCAGCCAGGATATAACAGGTAAAACAGGTTTGTGGGCGTCCAGAAACGTGGGCTACCTGCATTGCTTCTCGAAGGGGTCCTTCTTCAAACCTCGCCTGCCGATTCTTGCGGAAGAAAAACCCGAAAAAAGGGGCGAACCACCGCGCACCTCTATGCACCTGTTCGTTAAGTAACGACGATTAACGTCTCTGAAACCCCGCCGCCTCGTGATTTTTATCTCTGAACAAAATTATGGCGTATCCAGGAAACTTTGAACGTATCATTGAAAACCGTTAACCGATTCTTATAAAGAGGAGCGTATACTTAACGATCCTATCTAATTACACGTTGATAAAAAAATGTCTATTAGTTCGTTGAAATGAGACTATAGACAAAAAAGAAAACGGGAACGTAGGTACATTCGGGAAACATTGAAATTCGTTTCCTTATCGAGAAATGTTGAATAAAAGTTTATCTAAAGAACGAAAGGAAGGAAAAAGGTTACTTTTTGGAGGTCGACGCTGTATCATCTTGTTATCTCTTATCAACTTATCGGAATTATTTGAGTTGATTACTTCCCAAGTCTCGATGATCTAACGTCTTCACCGATCCGACGAATTCCATGGTGACTGTGACATTTACACACGAGTATCTGTATAAAGTCAATAGCGAAATCGTTCTTTTTTAAATTACCCCATTAGCGGGTCGATAATCTGTCGTGATTCTTTCCCGGTTTTAAAAATTGTACTAAATATAAAAATAAATCAAATCAAGGTTAAAATATAACGAAGCATTATCCGTTATAATCAAGTGTTCGTTAGGATTAAATAACATTTTATTTTTCTTAGAATAAATATTAGTTTTTTAAGATTAATGTATTTCATCATATGTTGTATTACAACAATTTTGTGCAATTCCTCTTTTCTATATATCCCTAAAATAATTATTTCTAAAAATAATTTATAAATGAGTGACCAAAATTCGTTAAAATAGATACGTTTATATAATTAATTGAATCAGATTTAATACTAAATCAACGAATTACACAACGTAAAAAGGTAATCAAGAAAAGAAAATGGAAGCCACTAACATATATACATGTGAAGGGATGAAGAAAAACCATTTCTCGCCGCAAAGGTCATTTCCGTTCGAACGAAAAGTCAAAGAACCGCGCGCGTCCACCCCGGGTCTCGAAAAAGTGCCTCGACCTCCGGGTGGAAGATATTCAAGCCAGCGAAGAAGCAGGTCCGCGGCGCGTCGGCAGTCGGGATCGCGATTACGAGGAAGCTACGAGGAAGTCGGCGGCTAGTCCGCCCTCCCCCTCCCGCCCCCCACCACTTTCTCGTGGCATTTCCCACTCGATTACAACGCTTCGATTATTTCCGTTCGCGCCGCGTATAAACCGGCTCCTATCGGTCTGTCCTTCTCCGACTCGCGGGTCTCCGTGCCGTTTCGGTGGTCCATTTGTCTCCGTTCGTCGAACGCGTAACACGGCGCGACGGTCGGTGCGCATGCGCGTCACCGCCGTCGTGTCTCCCGCGGCGCGCTAGAGAGAGAGGAGTGGGGTGTGTGGCGGCAAGCTTCCAGCGGTAATCGTGACTCGCGGCTCAGTCGCTCGCCAGCCTCGAGATCGGACGAATTTGTTTTTGACGGTTGTGCTCGTCGTGGTCGTCGTTGCCGTCGTCGTCGCTCTGCCAACACGAAATCGCGAGGCTAATCGAGAATCGTGTCCGTCGAGGTGAAAGGAGATCCGTTTCGTGTTCCGCGTCCTCCTCGCGGTCCCGTCCACCGCTCCCACCTCGCAAAATCTCTGTTTTAACCTCGTCTCGATAAGACTCGGAAAGAGAGACAGAGTGAGAGAGAGGACGAACTGGTGGGAGGGTGATATTCGTGTGGTGCCGACTGTGATACACTTAGCCCGCGTATGAAAGATAGGCTTTGTGATATACATACGTGACTCACACATACATGGATATTTTGATACCTCTGAACTTTCCTCGTATGGATGCCGCGAGCTGATTGTATATCCGTGAAGATATATCGGAACGTTCACTGGCCGTTTTTCTCGTTGTTTTTGTTTTATTCGATCGCGGATTAGGCTTGTGTGCGCTTTAATTGCGAGGACAAATCGACGAGGCCTTACACGTCCTCGTTTAGGGATATGTCGGAGTGGATTGGATATGTATAAATAAGTACATATAAGGTGGTGGGCGACGGAAGGAGAGGGAAAGACGAGAGGCGGAAGGAACGATACAAACACGTGCGCGTGGTCGGTGTCTCTCCGAAGATACCTGTGGATGCCAGGCTGGAGTCGTGACGTATTAGGGCGCGGATTTCTGCCCGATGACCGCCGTGGAGACTCGCCTCTACTCGCCAGCCGATCTTCGCCACTGATATTACACCGCGTCAGACGGTTTATCGGCCAGGCCGTGTGATCGAGGTAACGATCTTGTTCTCTTACTTCCTTGATTCCTTTCTTATCTCGAGAGCCACGTATTGCCGGGTAACGTCGAGTTCTGAACGTTAAAATGTGTACCGGTTTAATTGTCCCTCACTGTTCACCGTAATTATATATGTGTATTTAATCTTTATTTTTTCAAAGACCAACTACTAAGATTGTTACCATTTTCTATCTCGAAATTTAAAGGTAATTTGATCTTCAAATTTATTCGGTGGATTGTTATTTTGTGAATTTGTAGAAGTATATTGGGATACTAGATAAACATAAATATATTATGTTTATAGTAGTAACAGAGGGTTATATGATGGACTTTGTTTAAATAGTTCTGTATAAAAATAATCTTGATAGTAATTTGAGGATCGAGTTCAGTTTCATTCTACATTCTTGGGAGAGGGTTCTTTTGGTACCCTTTAAAATCTTAATTATTCAACCCACGTGCCTCTTTCTTTGCTCGCTGTCGACAACCTGTCTCCTATTGTACATCCAATTATAGGCTGTACAATTGTGGTAATAGGTGCCTTCGCGAAACAAATTCAGCGTTGCGTGTCACACTCGAAGCGTGATGTTTAATTAATTATCCATTTTTCCGCGTAATTGCTCGGACGTTTGTTCCATAGTAATTCAAATCATTTGCAGATAATTTTGAAATAATTTGAAATAGTTAAACGAAAGTTATTTTAAAATTATCTAGTAGTAAACGAACGTATTTTTCCTCTTCTTTGTAGTCGGAACTGCCGTCAATTAGTCATTCGTTTATTACGATCACTGACAAAGCGATTTGCATCTGGTTTTGTGGCGACGCTGCTTTATATGCTTCCTTCGTTTTCCGGAAGCAGCAGTAAAATGGTAGTCGCCGGATAACAAACACGAGGCGACGCAATTTTCTTTGTGTGCAACGACGCGTCTCGCTTAACGAACGAGAGCTTAATTAAGGATTTTTATAGATCATTTGACGCCGTGAGAAAAATTGGTCGAACGCGCTGACGCAATTTATCGCCGCTCCTGAGCGCGTCAATCTGAAATTTCAGACGCGTTGTAAACAAACTCACCCTTCCTTGTTCGCGGCTCATCCAGTTTCTCTTTCTCCCGTCTTATTTTTTTGTTTTTATTTTTAATTCAAATGTAAAGTCTTGCGACACTTTTTTCGTGTCAAATGTTGCATAAGTAATTAACAGATTCAGGATGACCCCCTTCAACAGTAGATGAGGAGATAACGTTCTTACATGTCGACGTGACCTCTCTAATGGCCACGCTGTCCTTATTTGTTTATAGTAATTACAGCTGGTTAGAAAAATTCACAAAATTCTATTCGACTGGTAGAAAGGAAGTAGAAAGAGTATATGGAGGTTTGACTATAATATTTAGTCGAATAACTAATTTTTATACATTTCTTAGTTTTAAGTAAAATGTTATACTTTTTATTTTCACTCGAACAATGACGGATTCAATATTTGCCTTTTTTTATTCGTTAATTGAGATTTATTGTGTAGATAGATGAAAATTTTGTCTTTTTTCATTGTGATATGTTTGCAGAACACATATATGTAATCGACAAAAAGATTAAATATGAAGGATTGACGACAAAAAACAATTTTGGTTAAATCGTGTTACTGAAAATTTGAAGTCTATTCTACATAATGATAATAAGTGGGAAACATTTTCTTTTGCCACGATACGACGTGAAATTGTTTTTGCAGGATTACAATTACTGGAAATTCCCATTATCGTGTTACTCGGCAATTGTCGAGGAAAACGGGCTTACTCTTTTCCAAGAAGCTCTTCAACGCGATCGAACGTACTGTTTCCCTATTCCATTGGGCCGTCAGATTCTATTGTAACAATATTACAACGTTCTGTGTTATATTATATTTCGTTTTCTGTCAAAACTATAAATAAATAAGTTGATGTATTGATCACTATTCGAAAGTCAAATAGCTTCTAGAATCTTTTCAATGATGACGTATTATTTTAACATTTAAATTGTGAATAATTATTTCCGGTACAAATTGCGTGATGGTCAGCAGAAAGTATGATAGATGAACATAATGACGAGAACAAATTAATTTGAAGTTGGAGGTGATCAACCCATTGTAAAGGTAAATGTGTAGTATGTAAAACGAGGAAAGTGATGAGTTAATGAACGAAAATGATGTATGAGTATTATTCGCAAAGAATGAAAATGAATATAAAAAAAATAGGTCAGCAATACAGGTTGAATTGCAACTTCTTGGAATTATAATTTCTGTACTTACTGTTTCAGCCTTCAATTTTCGTAAATCTACTTTCAATACAAGTACATATAATGAACATGGCGTTTCTAGTGACCACCAAAACGGTGGTTTCTGGGTTCGTCTAGGCCCCTAACGGATCTCGTTCTTCAAACATACTTGAGAAAGTACTTCTTCGAGACATGCGTGTCTATTTATTCTAATGTAAACACCTGCTGTTTAAGTCAGTCTTCGTGCGTTAAGTAGTCTGACCAAGCTCTTGAAAACCTGGTAGAAAATAGACCCAGGCACCGCCGTCTGGGAGCTGATATCAGAAAGGATATCTCAAATGACTTAAATGCATTCTCTTCGATCAGACGTTTAAAGTTACATCGTAGTTTCGTCATCAAATATTTTATCAATACGCGTTTGTCACAAAAATAGAAAAAACTTCGTAAGAAATTCATCATAGCAAATGATTAACACGTTTATTAGGTATACTAATAAATAATCCAGTATCCTCCCCTACTTTTAAAATTAAAAATACTTGCCTGACCTTTTACTGGATAAAAATAGCGTAACGTGTTGGAAACTGATGATAAATATCGATAAGACGGTGTAAGATTGTTGAGTTCTGTAGAAATTAATATCGCTTTTGTCGAAAAATAGTGAACTTATCGATGCTCCTAAGATACAAATTACCAAATCCAACATTTTTAGGAACATCAAAATCTTGTACCGTTCCAATAATATTCGTATTCGTGCTCCAGTACCCTCCGCCATTTAAAAAAAAAAGAACATACCGAGAAAATATTCCGAATTTAAATACCAGTACCAATTCATTAAATCAAATAATATATTATTTCTTGACATTCACAACAGATTATTCTCTGTAAACTTCAATATTACATTCAAGAAACTCAGCCCTTTATTTCCATAACATTGCCCCGTACTCCCGTCCGCCATTTTTAAAAACCAGCATAGCGGACAGGTGTTCGGACTTTAAATCCTTTCCCACCAGTTCATTAAAGCAAGCAGTGGATTACCCCCCGGCACCTCCAATATATTCACTATTACCAAATTCAATATTTATGTCTAGGAAGAGCAATATCCCCCGATGATTTACTAACATTGGTCCTCAGTCTCCGACAGACGCCGCCATGTTGAAAACCAAATAGCCCGGGAAGATATTTGGAGTTCAAATTCCAGCATCGGTCAATGGTATTCCATATCAAGTGGATCCTATATAAAAATGTCAATCTAAATATTCTTCCGCGAATATCCGACAAGAAGTTAACCTTTCGTCCCCTGCACCACTCAATTTCTAACTGTACGATGAATTTATATACCTCCCCACCCTTCGTACCTCTCCCTCTATCTTTCTCCCACCGGGGCGGTGTGTAGGCGCAGACACACGTACGCACACACCTGTTCCCCAGGCGTACGTACGTACGTGTGTGTTCCTGTACGTGTGACGCGACGGCTAAGCGGAGCGACTGTTGCTTACGCTCCTTGATCGTTATTCAGGAAGTTGCACGTTATCATTTACATAACACGTGAGCTCGAACAAAATCATGCATAATTCCTTCCTCCTTAACGCGGCCGTGTTACCGTTTCTCTCTTCACCTTCTCTCCTTTTTCCGTTTTTTTTTCTCTTCCATCCGTCGCCATTGCTGGGAGAGTGGGGGGAGGGAAAATTGAAAACTTTTCGACCAGGTGCCCGAGTCCTGAGTCGCGAAACAGCGACGGGAAAACGCATTGTTGAACCCACCACACGGATCGTGTCTTTGGCGAACATACGAAAAACGGGCCTTTTAAATATTGATCCTTGAATTATTGTTCACTGGCGGACGGATTTTATGTTTATAGCTTGAAAATTAACTTTTTACTATGTTCTAGGAGTGAAATATTGTTTAGAAGGGAGAATAGTTTGGTAATTGTTTTAGAGTGCATCTGATTTCATTTTGGCTAGGATCTTCCATTATGATCGTTAGAGGGTATTGACCCTTTATAAGGCCTAGGTAGATTTATCTCGGTTTCGTGGAATAAACTATTTCTCGGGCAAATGTGAAATTGAAATTGACAGAAATAAAATGTTGGTGGCAACATGATTGCCATGGCCTTATAAAGAGTCAACCCTCCGTAGGCGAACTGGGTCGCTTATGTCCAAGCCTAACTTTTTTACTGGTTTAGGCCTCTAAAAGTTCCGGGGTAAACTACTAGATTATACAGGTTGTTTAATCAAATGTTTAATACTTTGTTCAGTGGAAATGAAAATACGTAGGAAAATCGGAGACAAATGGGAATTCTCTTTGGTCGTCAAGGATTTACAGTGTCTATGGAGGTTTCAAAAATTCATACTGTTTCTAGTTGTTTTGGGATATTACTACATAATATTAAAAATATATGTTTTAATCAATCAGTGTTGTATTCATAGAAGAAAATTTGTTTTTTTTTTTTTGGGTCGCTCCGATATTCCCCATCTTCTGCAGTTTTAACTGTTGGAAAATGGATTAAAACTAAGATTTCTCCAACCCGCGGAGCCATTGTTCAAATACGAAATCGCGATGAAACAGAAAACTGAGCGTGGCGGCGTTATAATTTTGCAAGGGGTTTAATCACGTTAGTTCACGAACGAGCGAGCGACGAGGGAGAAAAAAAGTTTCGTCGAAAGGTCTCCTCGTCGATTTTCTATCGCAGTCGAGGGGACTGATAAGAGTCTGGGAAGGGGAGAAATGAAGTAGAAGGAAGAGGAAGTGGGTACGTTCGCAG